GCTAGCACACATGACATAGAACACAATTAGGTATGGAATAAACGTTACAAGTAAATGATAATCTAGGTAGGTATAAACGTTACAAGTTAATGGTAATCTAGGTTTGATTGAGAGTAAGAGAAACAGAAAGTTGAGAGAACGTTACCAAAAAATTTTATGAAATTCCTTAAGAATAGCTTTCCCTCTTTCTATCTTATTTTTTCAAACCAAACACAACCTTAGTGCATTATATAATCAGATGGATCCTGGTATATTACATTAAGCAATATGCAACTTCAATTTTATTAATAAATAGATCATATTTTCAAATCCAATCCAATACATTTATGGTTAAATAGTTATCTAAATTTAAAATAGCAAATAGTATTTCAATCTTAATCAGATTAATTCCAATTGAGACACAAGTAAGATTGGTTGATTCATGTTCATTCAAGGAGGCAACTTCTGTTCAAGACTACAAATCAATGAGAAAAAATGCACACAAGTGAATGTACAAGTGCGACTAAGATTTGCAAAGCCTTCTTCCTTAGATTAGTTAAGTTCTTCACGCTTACAGGATTAACAATTAGATCAACTCCATAGATTTAGAATGGAAAAACAATGAGATTAAATTGATCAAAAAAGTTAATAGACCACAAAAGCAAGTAAACCAGGGTACGAGAGACATGCATGATGACGTTCAGTAATGATAGATAGATAGATAGATAGATAGATAAATAGATAGATATAGAGAGAGAGCGAGAGAGAGAGAGAGAGAGAAATGCTGGATGAACATGAAGGGTGCCTGTTCCAAGCATCACATTAAAGAACACATGCTTGTAAGAACAATAACCAAGGGAGGTGGCAGTTCAGGCATATCAATAGGGAGATTAGATATTTGCCAAGAGAAATGGAATTGCACCTTCTCTTGGATTCAAAGGTCTTCATAAAATGCTATGGTTGATGCAATGATCAAGGGTTCAGTTATTTTGAGGGCATTTTAATATAATATGAGAAAAAAAAAGGTCAGGTTACTTATTGCAAGCCTGAACTACAGGAATGCTTGATGGAAGTGGACTCTGAAGATGTTTCACCAAAATGGATCTGGAGAATTGGGGCTAGGGGTGTCTATTGGACTGGATTTGGTCCAATCCAATCTAGACCAATATGAGTCCATTACAAGTGGACCAGGTCCAATCCAATCCAATGAATATTTTGGACCATTTTGGACCTGTCCAATTCAATGTCAGGACCGTTCAATCTGTTCAAATCCATTTTAATTTAGATTGGTTTTCCCAAACCCATTCCATTGACACCTATATTGTTATCTAGTATTTATGGACCAGATATTGGCTTAATCCAACCCAATACAATATAAATTTATTACAGATGGAACAGGTCTAATCCAATCTAATAAGTATTTTGGCCTGGATTGGTCCAATCCAATATTTCTTGTTGGTCCGTTCAATCCATCCAATTTGATTTTGGACTGGATGGGGTCCAGTCCAAAACCGGTCCATTGACACCCTTAATTGGGGCCAACGCCCACCAAAGACAGTATTCTTCCTTTGGACAGCAATGAAAGGCACAATCCTCACAATCGATCATCTGATGATGAGGGGAATTATGCTGGACAACATTTGATGCCTATATGAATTGGAAGGAGAGTTGGTGGGGCATCTGTTGATAGATTCGTGTTTTTCCAAACAATATAATATATGGCTTAAAATTAACAGGAGAAATCTTGACAAAAAAGGGTCCAATTGTAGAAGCTGTGGGGCGAGTGGAAAAGCACATTATTAGATGGGCCAGTATTCGGCAAGATTTTGTTGGATTCAAATTTTAAGACTTCAAGTAATCACCGGAGTCATATCATTTAGGACAATGGGTTTGATTTGAGTTTTGTGAATATGTAAATAGACGTGTACTTACAATGGCAAAGAGTTACGTATGTATGACAATATCATTCTACATATTTAATCCCTAGAAAGGGTGTATTCGATGTGAATTTTGGAGGAAACTCATTCCATGATACAATTTCTTACTACCAAAAAAATATAAAATTTAAATGACCCCAATCAAAAAATATATGGGATGGTCTAGGCAATTTGGATGTTCAGCAAGAGCACAAAATCATTTGTGCAGCATAGATAGAAACTCTAAAAATTAGATAGCTCTACTTATAAAGTGCAGGTAATTTGAGTTTCAATGGCCACGAATTATATTAATATTGGAGATTGTTCAGACATTTTGCCAGTTTAAGGTTGTTTCAAGACTTGGGGGTTGTTGCATAAGAGATAAAAAATACCATATGTTAGAGTATTTTCTTATTTAGCTATTTTATCTATAAAGAAACAATGAGTCATTCAGTTCGGTCCCTTCAGCTGTTATCAGGCGGCCCCCTAGAAACATTGGTTTAATTTGCAAAACTAATGATGCAGTTTGCCATTTGGAAACTTGATTTTTGTTTAAACAATATCAACTGTCAGTATATAATAAAATTTGAAGTTTCAAATTAAAAATTAGAACCCATATAATGTGATGATTATTTTAGGTTTTAGCAGCTTAAAGAGGCTATAACCTTACAAAGTACCAATACATCTGATTTGTTATCATTTTTATTTTTATGATGCCAGTTGATTGGTTGTAAGGTTTTCAATTATCATGCCCTTCCAGAATCACAGTTGAATCCTTTCTAAAACTTAAGCTCAGTTTCGAAGGGAATAAATACAAATGTGTGCAGTACAAAACCTTGTATATTGTACTTTTAAACCTTGTATTTATATTGTACAAAACCTTGTAGTTTTGAACAAATTTAAGGACACAAAACCTCTTACAGATACCAAATTACGAATGCATAAAAGATGCATTTTCTGAAACAACAAAGAAGAAATTACAAAATAAGGCAAAATGTGAGTTAGTATGACATTTTAGAGTAGGTGACTTGGGGCTGTGGCATCTATATTTGATCTTCTTATCAGCAATTATCGTGTTATTTATTTAACATAAAAGATATAACATTTAAAATTAAAGTTTAGAAGCGGAAATTCTACTTATTCAGGCTGGCCAAGGCCAAGCCTATACCTATATATGTCAGATGCTATCCATGTTTATTAAAATTCTACTTAATAAGCTATCCATGTTTATTAAAATTGAAGTGATGTATTTAGCATGGGTTCTAGGTATTGAATTGATAAATACAACTTGAATAAACTCAAATAGTAACAAAGAAAGCATTCAACTCAATAAAGCCTTATCCTAATTAAACTAATCACACCACCTTCTCATTAGGTCAAAGTAGATCATCATTTAGTACACCATATACTAAAACGTTTATGGAAAATGAAAAGGTGCATTGGGAAAATTCAGTGGATTTAGAGAACAGAAGCCAAGTCACATATCAGACAACTAGATGCAGCGTAATTTAAAAAACCCAAGTGATTATTATACTGTTTTTGAAGTGTTTTGCCTCTTGGTTACTCATCCCCTACAAAACTATTTTAGTTTACTTTTCATTTTCCTTTTAGCTAGGCGTGGTGCAGTTTTCTGTTTGTCATTGCAATTAATTAATCAATACAGGATTGTTAATGCTCATTGGAGTCTCCCATTGTCTATGACTGTTTCTTTAAACTTGGACCTTAAAACATATTCAAACTTGAACCCTAAAACAATTTGGTTCTTTGCTCCAATATATGTTGCCACGAATGTCTATCTTTCAAAAGCGCTGAAATCAAAGGATCATACCTCAATAAGCCTCAAAAAACGGGGGAGTCTTTTATCACCACTAACTGTATAAAAATTAAAATGCTCACTCAAGAATGGAAGAAGCACCCTTCGGGAGGCAATTCCTACTAAATAAGAATGAACAACCTCCAACAGAATATATTCACACCCTATGGCCAATTTCCAACCGCAACCTAAAACATGAAAAGGTATCCAATTGCACTACCTCTGGTATGCATTGCAGCTATTTTACAAAGACAAGACAATTAATTGTACACCATCTATTCTCGAGAGTTAAGACAGTACAAACTTAGAAGCCAGTAATAACCAAAACCTAGAAAGAACAACAACAATCAGCTAAAAAACCATGCAACCAGCAAAAAACGGTGCATTAAATCAATCTGAACCTCTCAGGTCTAGAAAGGATCACTAACAAATAATTTGCCGCTAATCGTGCAACCAGAAGTTGAAATCTAGCAGTGCAAATGTGCAAGACGGCACTAAACAAAGTACCCTATACCCGTATAAAAAGTTTATACAAGTTTGCATTTTGTTACACCTAAAAGGTTCAGAGAAAAGAAATAGCACTACAATGGACTGAGTTGAGCAAAAGAATGAGACAGACTACAAAATCAAATCCCCAAGACAGAATATATGATTATCATCTTTAATTCTCATAAATTGACGCACAGAATCAAACAGGCAAACAGCTCTTCCTGGCGTTAAAGTAACCACTAATCAAACTTCCAAACAAGTCCTCAAAAACGTTGATTCAGTTCTTCCAGAAGTCAAATAAAGGAGAAGAAAAACAAAGAAAACGAGATAAAATACATACACGTACGTTTATCAAGATGCTAATCCCTAGTTTACCGTCAAAACCCACAAATATAAAACTCAGAAAATCTAGAGTAACAACCGACATATTCACAATACAGTCAGTAGATCTCCATTCCAACAATCCCAAGAAGCACCAAACCCATTCCGATCTCATAGTACCAGGACCAAAACATAGAAAATACCATTAAACCTAATCTTAACTAGACAGAAAATGACAATATCTGAGAAGAAGGGCACATCAAAACTGAAGAAAATAAAAAATAAAAAAAAAAGAATTCATTTTTCGATATCTGAGACCAACAAAATCTCATAAAACTTGGCAAACTGACATCCAAAATTAGATCTTGTAGGAAAATAAGACAAAATATAAAGCTTTTGTCTAACAGAAGTCGGGAAAAATAAAATACTAGACAAATTTCTCTACATCAAAGCAAACAGCAGACAGACAGAGAAGAGCATACCTAGAACTGCTACAGAACTCATAAAGCTTGCCACGGTTGGAGAAGATGATGAGAGCAACCTCGGCATCACAGAGAACCGAAAGCTCATAAGCTTTCTTAAGAAGTCCGTTCCTTCGTTTTGCAAAAGTAACCTGACGGTTTATCTTGTTCTCAATCCTCTTCAGCTCTACCCTTCCTCTCCCCATTTCTTCTTCCTCTCTCTCTCTCTTTCTCTCCTTTTTTGTATTATTCTATATATCTAAACAAGCGTATCTATCTTTATATATTAAATGTTATAAGTTCTGGTTTCTCTCTTCTTCTTCTGTCTTCTCTTCTTGGTTAAGAGCTGATCCTCCTTCGTGGGTGAGTGTACTAATGTTCCTGAAAAGCGAGAAAGAACAGAAGAGAGAGAGTGGTGAATGAGAGATCAAAAATGGCAAAACCTTTGGACCTATATGCGTATGCATACATACTTTTTTTTTATATCTTCTTCTTCCTTCTTCTGGTTTGCTCGCTCCAACTAGGCTTTACACCCAACACCCCCCCACAGACTTCCCCATACCAGAATAAAAAGAGAGAAGTTGGGGAAATTTTTTCTTCTGTTTCTTCTATAATTTTTCACCTTCTAATGTCTTAACGTCAACACCAACCTTAAAACATTCGACTTTTGGTTTTCGACGTGTCGAGTTCAGAGTGGCCGATCGATACACCATCCATATTGCTTTTCCCATTTGGACGAAAATGGCCCTAAAGTCTACCACTTTTTGCTACTGTTCACCTTTTCTTTTCCCCTTTTTTTTTTCCCTTGTTCGTAGGGTTCTGTAATCAATCAATCCTTTTACTTAAATTCTTCCATAAAATAATTGGAACTTGGGAAAGTATCAAAGTAGCAATTGGGTGGAAACTGGATAGTGAAAGTAATCAAGATTAACAGTGTTGGTTAATCAAGGAATCTATTTGACTCGAGTTGAGTGAGATGAGTTAGTCAAAAGCACTGTACCTGCCCCAAAATGCCCTCCTACGTACAACCTATTGTATGGGCACCCTGATCTCTGCATGTGAATCAGTCGTTCTATTTCTTAGGTGGGGGGCTACGTAACAAACAGTTTACAGGAGAGAAATGGGATGCAAGTTGGTTTCAGCAGGGAAATTGGACCCACTTCAGACCTTTATTTACAAGAGGAGGACCTCCTAATACAAGCTGTTCTTGATATAAATCCCACCTTTAAGAACTTGCTTCATTTAACTGTGGGTTTCTTCAATCCAATCCTGGGATGGAATTTACACAGATCGGGAGTGAGGACTACTATATGTAGGGTACTTGAGAAGACTTTCGGTATTGCAATATAAAAGGTTAAGTTAATTAACATCAATCTGAGCCAACATTAATTTATGGGAGTTGAGGTATTTCTATGACTAGGGTAATTAAATTGATTTGTGAAGCAATTGAGTAGATGAAGTAGAACTCTTCTAGCTTCACTATTTTCCTTTGTTGCATGCATCATTTGACCATTGTCAATATACTTATTTAGGATCATTGCTGCCTTTTCACATATATACAATTCCAAATCTAGTATTTTCCTCAACAGTTTTTTTCTTGGGACATAGCTAATGAGGCAGCAATTGCAGAAGAAAAAAGGGAAAAAAAAAGTATATATAAATTAAGGTAACAGGGTTACCCTAAAAATTAAAAGGGCACAAGTGTTGATGAAGTCATTAACATCCTTTTGCCCATCCAGATGAAAAACTCCTTCATTTTTTTTTTTTATCTGGGGGGTCTGTACATAGGTAGAGGAGGGTTTTCTATTAAATGCAATGGTGGGTGTTCTGCAAACTGATTGGATGGGTCAGGAATTTTTCTAGCTCTGGTATGGTTCTTTATTGCCAGTCCCAGCAGGCTTAAAAAAAAAAAAAAATCAGTATTACGTGACTTATATGGGCATATAGTTCTAAAAAGAGTGTATTCTTTATTTTCTTTTTTTCTTTGTTGTGCCTTGACTTCTAGAAATAGCAAAGGAAATAAGAGGTTCCTATTTATCCACCATGTGAAAGATGGTAGTATTATCTATTCTGTTCCATTCCACCAGTAGTACTGTTGAAAATACCATATTTATGTGAAGCACTGGATCAGGTTATTAGAAGCCCTTCCATGCCAGAGATTGGATTTGATGTGGAATAAGCTAGAGAAGCCCATGGAAAGAAGAAAAGGATGGTCATGTTTGGTCAATGCTCATAGAATTGCCTGAGTAGACTACACAGTCCACTCCAGATTCCAGAAACAAAATTCATTTCAAATGGGTACTCACCAACTCTTTCAAATTCCATCTCTCTTTCATTTAAAATGACTCCATTTGCATTCAAACTGAAGTCTTTAATCAATGTATCTCTTTTGAACTACTGCTGGATGTTGAACTAGACATATACCATATATATTTGGTGGCATTTTCATGCCTTTCGGTACTATTAATCATTATAATTTTTTTGGGGCTTTTAATTTTAATCTTATTTTTGGTGAATAACTGCTAATAGAAAAATCCCTTGTTATTAAAATAATGATGTTGTGATTCTCTCTCTTAATTATTACGGGTGGAGTGGCATTTGTGTAATTAACTGGAAAGTTAAAAGGTGTTTTGAAATGCATCGCCAGAGCTAGAGGACATACGTCAACTTTCATTTACGAGAAAACAATTATTAAACTGTTTTAAGGCAACCGGGTTCTGGAAGAATCGTCTGAAAACAGAAGTGAGGTGTCGATTTCTGATTGGGCAGGGAGAATCGATCTCGCTGGGACACCTGACGAAGCCAAGGTTTCGACGGCTAACGATACCAGCACCCTGTACCTCGTTAACGGAGCTAACCGTACAATGATGCATACGTGTCAACAGTTTAAGCAGAAACTAGACCATGCTCACTGAGCACTTCTCGTCAGCCGCCCGACAGCTGTCAAGATTTGGACTGTGCACGAGATTCGGAGTACTTTTCCTTCGAACCAAATTACCCCCCTTATTATTATATCCGTCAATCCATTAATACCTACGTGGGCATTAACAGTTGGAATATTACGGAATTAACGGCGGCGATGACGGTCGTTAACTTCTACGTTACTGTCACCTGAATGATAACAGTAGTGATCCAACGGAAATAACAGTTGCCACATGTGGGCCGCACGTGTGAAAGGGCCCGGATCAACTCACACCGCACGTGTTTGAAATATAGGTGTGCTCATTTGTAATTGATTAGATAACGTACCGTTATATAAAGCAGTACAAGTACTCCACCCTATCATACGCTTTGCTAAATGTATAGTTTTAGAATCATTCAGCGTCTTCTATCATTTAACGAAAGGTTTGGTTTAAACAAAAAAATAGGGAAAGGAGTGGAAGGGTAGGGAATCCTTTACAAACTTTATATAGATTTTTTTATCTTTTACTTCCTTTCCCTATTTTTTCTTTCAAACCAAACATAACCTTAGTTTTTCTCACAAAATCAATTAATTCATGAGCTATCAATGTATTATCTTGAATGAATCTCTTCGGAGTAAAGGCACTTTGGTTTATATTGATGATTTTCCCTAGGAGGGGTTTATAGAGATCAAGATTTTGGAAATGATTTTGTAAATTATATTACAAAGGCTAATAGATATGAATAGGCCTATAAATCGATCGAATTCAAATCGAATCAGGCTATATTCGAATTTGAAACCGAATAGAAATAGTGATATTCGAATTCGATTTCGATTATTAAATCGAATATTCGATTCGATTCGAATTTGACCGATTGGCTAAAAAATCGGTATTGATTGCAAAGAAGGAGGAAAAAACTGAAAAAATCTAACTCATAACCAGAAACCAAAAAACCAATAAATCATCTAAATCATTATCAGAAATTTGTAATCTATTCTATATCATTAGAAATTTAGCACACGAAAATGAGTTAAAAAATCTAGCTCATAAATAAATCAATAAACCAATATGTAATTTATGAAAATTTAAATCTAATTACCTTGAAAAAAGAGGCAGGGGATTGACGGTGGCAAGCATGGGTTCCCAACAGTGGGCCAAGTGTGAGTGTGTGATGGCGTGGGTTTCGCCAGTGCAAATGCGATGGGTTCCCAGCACAAGGCCGGTGATGCTGGACGGTTGAGGGTTGCTTGAGCTTGAGCAACGGAAAGGGAGATGGCGCTTTGAGCTTGAGCTATGGCTGGTGACCGATGCTCGACCGTAATCACTGGCGCTGTCGTCGGTGATGATGGTTGTTGGGGCGGTGGATCACTATCTCACTGAGACTTTGAGAGAAGAGAGAGATAAAAGTAAGAGGAAAGATGACTAGATGAGTGACAACGGTGTTTGACGAAGGGCTAGTGGCTGCTCAAACGATGAGGGAAGGTGACCGGTGATGGATTGATGGTGGTTGCTCAGGCGGCGTTCAACGATGGCAAAGGGAGTGATGGAGGGTTAGGGTTTTGAAAGTTGAAACTTGAGAGAGAGAAGGGTAAGGACGTAAGGTTCGAACTTCGAACTCAAAAGACTGAAATGAGTTTTTGAACTCATTTCTTGTTTTTTTTCATTTTTTAACCTTTATATATATATATATATAACCAGTTTGGATATTTATCGGATCGAATCAATGTATATCTGAATTCGGCCTGATAATTTATTCGATAAAAAATAATATCTAAATTTGATCAAATATTCTATTCGAGTTATCCGAATTCGATTCAATTATACCGAATCTCGCATTCGAATTTGGATTTCTAAATACCATTTACAGGCCTGCGTATGAATTGACTAGCATAAAATGAGTTTCTTTACCTTTGGAATTAGGAAAATATAGGTAACATTAAATTCCTTTAGAACTCTTGGAAAAAAGAAGTTAGATAAGCATATGGTCTTGGGCTTTCCTAGAAACCATTTGGAACAAAGCCTCTCGAATTTCCTCTTCAGTTACTTCTCCCTCTAGCATATTCCTCTCTCCATCATTCATCTTTCTTGAAGGTTTAGAAACAAAGCGAGAAGCCACTGAATGAACGCCCTCCCAAAGGGCACTTCATACTTCTGGCTTGTAAATAAGCCCTAATAGATTACTTGAACGATACCAAGTTATTTAGCAAAATATGATAAAAAAATAAAAAAAAAAACGCACTTTATGAAATACATGTAACCAACAATCTTCCCTAAGTTAATTTTAATTGATAAAAATTGTTACAACCTTGGCAAAAAAATATACTAATATTTTATCATTGGACTAGGGTTTCTTTTCAATGCGCTACGTTAATTATAACCGAAATGTTTCCAAGATACCTCCCCATTAATTGTAGCAAATTTGCCAAAGCATCTGGGTCGGGGAGGGTCTCACCCCTGAACCCCTAACAATTGTACAATAATAAATTAAAAGGAATTCAATGGTGCTGGCTTAGATGGTTTTAATTGTTTTGTACATTAAAGAATAGTTTGCATATATACTTACAAGAGGGGAAAGAAAAAGCATAAACTCATGAGAATGCTTGATACATTACAATGTTTTGTGGAACCTAAAAATCAATCCAGAAATTAATAGATCAGTGCAAGCTCAGCTGAGAAGATTTTGGCTGTCCAAATTTGACAGCCTCGGC